CCGTGAAGCTGCCCCTGGCCAAAGCTTCCTGTGTCGAAAACACAACCACCAGTGAAGCCCATGGCTCCTCCCCCAGGTCTGCAGAGAGGTCCTGGCTCGGCCAGAAGGTGCGCTGAGGATGGTCCGGGAGGTGACCAGGGAAGCCAAGAGCAAGACACGGTCTCTGCTGGAAGGAACCCTGTGGTTGTGCCCTGGGCCCCGCCCCACCCCCACACCTCGCCCAGCTTTGTTCTCTGGGAAAAGCACAAAACCACGGCTTTGTATCAAGCTTCCAAAATTTGGAGTTTGGGGGGGGGGAGGGTGACACAAAAATGGGGAGGGGCCTATATTGCAGCTCCCTAGAACAAAAGTGAAGTACTTTCAAAACCAGGGGAGCAAGCACTGGATTCCGTTAGAGACCTGCCATCTGGGCGAGGGCAGAGGAGGCTGGGCTACTTGAAAGGGCGAAAGCAAACAGACTGCTTCCCCCCACCCCGATGCGCTTGCCCAGATGTCTCAGGAACATTTATGAAGTCACACAGGTTTCCAGCTAGGACCCTGCACGGGGGGAGGGGGAAGGACCGAGTCACAGGGCCAGGCCGGCTAGGACCCTGCACGGGGGGAGGGGGAAGGACCGAGTCACAGGGCCAGGCCGGCTAGGACCCTGCACGGGGGGAGGGGGAATGACCGAGTCACAGGGCCAGGCCGGCTAGGACCCTGCACGGGGGGAGGGGGAAGGACCGAGTCACAGGGCCAGGCCGGCTAGGACCCTGCACGGGGGGAGGGGGAAGGACCGAGTCACAGGGCCAGGCCGGCTAGGACCCTGCACGGGGGGAGGGGGAATGACCGAGTCACAGGGCCAGGCCAGCTAGGACCCTGCACGGGGGGAGGGGGAAGGACCGAGTCACAGGGCCAGGCCAGCTAGGACCCTGCACGGGGGGAGGGGGAAGGACCGAGTCACAGGGCCAGGCCAGCTAGGACCCTGCACGGGGGGAGGGGGAAGGACCGAGTCACAGGGCCAGGCCGGCTAGGACCCTGCACGGGGGGAGGGGGAAGGACCGAGTCACAGGGCCAGGCGGTCCCCAGCTCTCACGGGAGAATCCCACTGATCAAGGCCAGACATGAGTCCTTTATCTCCAGGAGACAGGCAGGGGGTTGGTGATTATAATAATGTGACATTTTATCTTTGCTGAGCACTGGCCAGCCCTGGAAGGGCCCGAAACCCTCTTGAAAAGTCTGGCTGGACCCATGGGTGTTCTCTCCCCTGCTATTGAAAGGCAGCCTGCCTGCGATGGGATCTCGCTGCCTGGGACGCCCTCCCAGCCTGCGGCGCGGGTGAAGCCACCCCTCGCTCACCGGCAAACGGGCGGCACACGAGCTGCCGCCAGTGCCCGAGCCCGGGAAGGCGGGGCCGCCGACATCCGGAGGCCAGTGCAGGAAAGGCCTGGAGGCGGAATCCCCTGGCCAGCACCCCTGCGTGCTGCTGTCTCTTTAACCCCACAAACCCCTGCAATCTGCAAGGTGAGGGAGCCTAGGCTCAGGAGCACTGGCCGATCGGCCCACAGCTCCAAGGGCAGAGTCACTCGGTCCCTGCACCAGGCGCCTGACACACAGTAGTTACTCAGCAAACACTGACTACAACAAGCCGCTGAGAGGCACACAAAGCCTGGGAATGTGCGCTGTCAGATGGGCCAGGGGCTTCTTCCTTTTTTTCTCCCCAAATTCTTTTTTTATTGATTTTTAGAGAGGAAGGGTGAGGGAGAGACAGAAACACTGATGAGAGAGAACATCGACTGGCCACCTCCTGCACGCCCCCCACTGGGGATCGGGCCCACAACCTGGGCATGCGCCCTGACCGGGAATCGAACCAGTGACCTCTTGGTGCAGGGTCAGCTCAGCTACTGAGCCACAGCGGCCGGGCTGGGTCAGGGGCTTCTTGAATCGATGGGCTGAGCAAGAGAAAGATAAGCACTTGGGAGAGAGAGACGCTGAGGAGAAGGACGAGGGGACTCCCCAGGCCCCGCTGCTCCCCGCTGCGCCCCTCCTGGGCAGTGCTCTCCCTGGGCCAGGCCGCAGAGCAGGAGCGAGACAGGGCCCACGAGGGGCAGGTCCTCAAGATCCACTCTGCAAACACGAGGCTGCAGAAGCAGCGGCACGGCGCCCCTGTAAGCCGTAGGGTGCAGCAAGGCCTCCCGGGGGAGGAAGGCCGCAGGGCACCGCAGGGCGCGCAGGCTCAGATGGGCCTGGAGGGGGAGCCTCTCTCCATCCGACTGTCCCCAGGGCTCTGCCTTGCTCCTGGGCCTGAGGGTCTTCCCCACAAATGACTGCCTCACCTACGCTCCCTGCCCAAGGCAAGCAAAGGGGTCCCTTTGGGCGTGAGCCCGCCACAAGGAGCGGGATGCTCGCTGTAGGTCTCGGCCCTGCCTCACTGCTGGTACAGCGTTCCCGCCTCTGCCCGTCTCCTTACAAGCGTTCTCCCAGGCTCGCAGCAAGCCCACGAGGCAGGCGCGTCTTAAAGGCCTCTGACGATGAATGGAGGCCAGGGAGCTGATGCGGGGATGGCGGCCTGGAGATAACCCCCTCCACAGCCCGGCCTCGGAGCCTGGCCTGCTGGAGAGCTAGGTCCAGGCCAGGGTGAGGCTGGGCGCCGGGAACCTCCCTCCCCCCTGCCACAGGCAGGCGGCTCCGCGCTCACGTGTGAGCCTGGCCCAGAGGAGGCAGGCTTCGGGGCCACGTGGCTGGGTCGCTGAGGCTTTGCTGAAGCGTTAACCACTAACGAGGTGTTCAGTCGAGCCCTGCGTGGGGACCGGCCTCAGAAGTGACTCACACGGTGAACCAAGGCCAGGTGAGCCCCATTCCCACTTCCATTTCCTCTGATGGCAACGACCGCCTGGGCTCCCCGCCCAGCTGTGGCTTCTGACTGAGCAGAAAACAATCCTCCTTCTCCCGGCCTGAGTCCACCTCTGCCCACCGAGGACCTGGGGTCACCTCACTCGGCCGTGGTTTCCCCTTATGTGAGCAGAGCATCCCTGCCTGCCCTGAGGCTGCTGCAGAGTCCAGAGGACCCCGAGGGATGGGGGCCCTGCGGGATGGGGACCCTGAGGGATGGGGACACTTAGGGATGGGGACCCTGCGGGATGGAGAGACCCCACGGGAAGGAGACCCTGCAGGATGGAGAGACCTTGTGGGAAGGGGACCCCGTGGAATGGAGAGACCTTGTGGGAAGGAGACACTGAGGGATGGGGACCCTGCGGGATGGGGACCCTGCAGGATGGGGACCCTGCGGGATGGGGACCCCGAGGAATGGGGACCCCGAGGGATGGGGACCCCGCGGGATGGGGACCCCGAGGGATGGGGACCCTGCAGGATGGGGACCCCGAGGGATGGGGACCCTGCGGGATGGGGACCCCGCGGGATGGGGACCCCGAGGGATAGGGACCCTGCAGGATGGGGACCCCGCGGGATGGGGACCCTGTGGGATGGGGACCCTGTGGGATGGGGACCCCGAGGGATGGGGACCCTGCGGGATGGGGACCCCAAGGGATGGGGACCCCAAGGGAAGGGGACCCTGCAGGATGGGGACCCCGTGGGAAGGGGACCCCGCGGGAAGGCGTGTGGCCAGCACCAGTGCATTGGGACACGCCCAGCTTGCCACCTTTGGGAACGGGTCTAAAGAAGAGAAAGCAGCACACAGAGGGAAGGCTGAGCAAGAGGTTGGAGGACCCCGAGGGGTGGGGACCCCAGGTCGGACGCCTGTTCGAGTCCTGCGAAGACACACTTGGAACCTGAAGGCCGCTGTGGTCACCCGTCTGGAAGCCTGGGCTGCCTCAACGCAGACATCAGACACATCCTCAAGGTGACCCCGAGGGCCGGGTCATGGAGAGACAGACAGCGGGAGGACAGACGGGGCCGATAGCCCGCAGCACAAGAAATCACAGCTGAGCCAACTGCCTCTCAGCCCCCTTGAAAGGACGTGGTTCACGCTGCCTGGGAACAGGGGACAGGCGGGCCTCTGAAAGGCGCGTCGGGGTACGAAGCCAGCGCCTGAAGGCCGCTCCCGCCCTCGGGCCTCCCTACCCCACTCCTGGGACCGTCCTGAGGACTAACCCAGAAGGCAGACGAAGCTTAGACACTTAGTCACTATTTCTTTTTTTTTTTTTTATCCTCACCCGAGGACATTTTTCCATTTTTTGTTCAGGTAGAGTGGGAGGGAGAGAGAGGAACAGAGAGAGAGAGAAACATCGATGTGAAAGGGACACATCGAGTGGCTGCCACCCGCAAGACCAACCAGGGCCGGGGACAAACTGCAACCGAGGTACGTGCCCTTAGCGGGAACCGAACCCGGGTCCCTCCAGACCGCAGGCCGACGCTCTAACCGCTGAGCCAAACCGGCCAGGACCTTAGTCACTATTTCTAACAACAACACACACCCTTCCACCCAACAACCAAGAAGTAGTTCCGTCCACAGACACATTTGATCCCTCCACACAACACAGCCCCAGAAACACATTGAAATGCATGGAACAGACCATTTCCATGGTGTGGGGGGAGGGGAGGAATGATGGGAACTACCAGTGAAAAAAGCGTAAGAAATAGTTTTTGTGCATCATTTTACATAATCGTATGTTCATCGTGGGCTTGGCTAGGAAAACAAATACAAAGGGTGTAAAAATACACCAGCATGGAATAGTAGTTATCACCAGGTATTGGGGCTGGGGAGACTAATTCTACACTCTATACTATGTCGCATCTTCTGAATTCAAGACAAAGGAGCATGGTTACTTTAATAATCAGACAGAAACTCTCAGTGCTGGCTTTGGGGTTCCGTTTGGAAGCCGCACCCCAGTCCCTGGCCCCGCAGCCCCCGCACCGCTGAGACCCAGACAGCGACAACACACGGAAGATCCCCAGGCTGCTCTCTGCGCCTGTGTCCCAAAGCGCTGGCGGGGTCTCACCTGGAGGACTCAGGCCCTGGCGGAAGGACTAGGGTTGGACTCCTCCCAGCCACCTCGGTTACTCACCCATAATTCCACAAGAGAAAAGTGTCGGTCCGTGACTCATCTTCCTTGGCGTGCGCTGAAAACAACCAGAAAAGCTATTCACTCTCCGAGTCAGAAGAAAGCACGTCGCACATGACCGACCCTGCACTGACCCCTCGCTAAAGCCACGGTCGGCAACTGCCTTGGGCCGACGTCAGACTAGCGAAAGGAGAGAAAAGTACCGGAGGAGACGCCCGCCCGCAGCTCGGCCGGGACTGTTTGTGCGGATCTCCCGGGAGGTATGGAGTCCGTCAAGTTAACGGGCTCCAGACACCCACGAGAAAGCCCGTGACTTCTGACACTGGGGACTTTTCCGTGGTGCGGAGGAGGTGTCTGTGCACAGTTCACCGAGCTGGGCTGCGAGAGGCCTCCCACGGCCCGGGCTGAAGCGAGGGCACCGCGGAGGCCCTCTGCCACCCCGGCATCCTCTCTGAACTGAAACAGAAACGCGAGGTTATCACTGCTCTCAACATCCAGCAACAGCTTCTGGCTGCTGGCCCTACGGCCCCACGATGGCTCCCTTGTCCCCGGGGACACTCTCCCCCTTCCCTCGGCCCCACACCCGGCCTCAGCAGAAGGCTACGGCCACTGGGTGAGAGCCAGGCCAGGGAGGCTGAGCAGAGCCTACGTCCAGGGACTTGTTCTGCGGCTGCACAGAAACCCGGGCTGGAGGCCTCGCGGAGTCCCCTGTGCTAGCTGAGGCCCAAGTCAAGAGGCTGGTCCGACGTCTGGTGAGGAGACTGCCCACCATGGCCCCGGGAAGAAGCATTCCAAAGACTCAGGCATCACTCACCACCAGCGCTGCACCAGTCGTTACCCGTGTGCAGGGTGCCGCGGGCTGGTCGTGGGGAGCGAAAGGGGCCCCAGCCCGGGTCGGCTGGTCACACAGGGCTCTACCTTCTGGGAGGAGCCCCGGGCCTGGCTCTCCGAGGCCTGGAAGGGTGCGGGTGGAGCTGACTAGAAACGCCAGGCCCACCCAGATAAGAGGGGTGGCATGTGCCTGGCACCAGTTCCCCACCCCTGTCCCCAGACGCCCCATTTAGGGACCTTTGCCCTCACTCAGATAAATGGTCATCCAATCAGATTATTCAGGGTCCATCCTGACCAGCCTGGAGTACAGAGGTGATGGACACCCGCCTTGGCCCTCAGGAGCTCACATTTCAGAGGTCACCACCACCCAGGTAAACCATCACACCGCAGACACAGTGGGGCTGGAGGGGAGGTGACCCAGACTGTACGTGCTGGGGGCCAGGGCTGGCTTCCTGGGGGAAGGGCTGAAGGACCAGAAAGGGCTGACAAGGGGGGGCAGTCCTCCAGTGCAACCTCATCCACTTAAAATATTCTTACATGATCAGGACAGGCGCCCTCCCGGACTCCAGTGACAAGCACCTGATGTCCAGCCTTCCAGGGAAGGCGCTGCCCGCCCCGCCAGCTGTCAGTGCAGCGGGACACACGGAAAGTCCATCAGAGCCGTCGAATGGGGGGCAAGCAGCACACTCGAGCACCCCGCGGGGTTCGGACCGGGAGAAGTTGGGCTCAGCCAGAGCCTGGGCACTGCATGATGAAGGGAACGGTGCCCGCCGCAGGGGCACCAGGCGCAAAGCAAACACCCACAGGGGAACCACGATCTGCCCCCGCCCCTGCCTGGTGCGGTGGGGGGCAAACTACCAGAGGGGAGCCCACAGCAGCCCAAACCAGGGCAGGGCTGGGGAAGGCAGCGGCCTGGGGGCTGTGCTGGGGGAGGGGCCACTGAGGAGGGCTCAGTGAACCGCCGCTAAGCTGCAGTTCCAGACGCAGGGGCACCTCAGGGCCCTCCCGGGGCACGTGGGCACGTGAGCGGGCACCAGAGCTGCTGGGGTCCGTGCGCACAGAAGGAAGCTGCTGCGCCAGCTCACGGGGTTCCTGGGCCTTCATTCCCTCATCCTCTGGCTCAGCAAGGGTGAGTCTGTTTGCTGCAGACCCGTTTCCCAGCTCAGAGGACACGCTTGGAATGTGCCTGCTTCTCACTCCCCTGCCCCCCAGCTCCGAGCCACCCCTGACCCCCCTGCAAGCCTCCTAACTGGTCCCCCTCTGTGCCCTGGACCCGTCCTCCATTCTCCACCCAGACCCAGCAGAGGCCGGCCCACGCTGTTCCTCTGCTTACCACCCTCTGACCCCCACAACAACCAGAATAAAACCAGGACACCCCTCTCCCACAGCCCCCCAGGCCCAAGTGAGCCAAGCCCGGCACCCTCCACCCTGCTAGGCCTATCCTGTCCTCCGGCAAGCAGCTCAGGACCGGCCAGCCTGTTGCCACGCCAGGCTTTCGCAGTGGGGTCTACGGGGTGGGCTCTGGGTCCATCCCCGTCACGGGGTCTCCTCAGTGGCCCTCCCACCACGCATGTCTCCACGTGGCCCTGTCGGAGTTGGGCCACCCACATCAGTTCATGTGTTTCTGTGCTTACCCTCCGCCCCCGGACCTAAGCTTCTCGAGGCTGGTGTCCCACCCACGACATTCCCAGCACAGAGCGGGCACCACGGGGCCGCCTGCCAGCCCGAGCCTCGCTCCCGCTGCCGCACGCCCGGCAGATGCGGGCCCAATGGGAGCGGGTTCTCACTGGGCAGACCTGCTGCCTCTCCAAATCGCTGGGCTCGTGCCAAGTCAAAACTCAGTGGGCAAGGGGAGACAGGCCCAGGCAAAGTCGGGGCTGACCCCAGGCTGGCCTGGGCTCTCACGTGGCCTCTGACTGTGCACCTGTGGCCACGGTGGACCAGCAATAGCTAACACTGAGATTTTCCACGAAGGAACCCCTCCCCCAGGGCCCCTGTCCTAGCGGAGCCCCCCTCCTGGCCCCTCATCGAGCGTATGAAACTGACGGACTGGAGGTACAGCGCGTTTCTGCTAACCACACCCTGATTCTGCGCTAGGGCGCCCCCTCCCTCACTGCACAGATGGTGGTGGGACTGTGCCTCCACCTCCCCTGGCACGGGGTGGGCACGGGACATGGGTGTGGCAGGCCAGACACCTTGGCTCCGAGGCTCTGACTCCTGGACCAAGTGGGTGCTGGGCCGGGTTCACCCAGTGGGAAAGCCCGAAGCACCTGCTTCCAAGACCCCCCGAGCCGCCCCGTCCCTGCCCTTCACAGGGCTTCGTTCACCAAGTCCTCTGCAGCCCGGCAGCCCCTCCAGCGCTCCTGGGAATGTTCTGTGGCTGTAAGTTAGCCGGAGACGCTCTGTCCCTCCCAACAGAGGAGCCCTGGCCGGTTCTGGGCTGGGCTTCCTGGGGCGAACGGTTAAGGGAGCCAAGGCTCAGCTACCCGAGGAACTGCTCCAGTCACGTTCGAGCAGAGATTTTCAGATCCACGAGGGAAGATTTCTAAGTTAAACCTGCTTAACTAAAAAGATATTTGCAGTGCAGTGTCGTTTTGGGTTTATTTATTTTTTTGGCTTTTTGGTTTACAAAATGCAGCTTTCTCCTCTTCCTTTTCCTTCTTTTTACGATGCCCCTCCAGTCCCACTGGTTTGTGTGGACAGAAAACATCCATCAAGGTAACTACGGAGAGAAGCTGGCTGATGGGACAGGGGCAATGGTACGGCCAACCACATGGCATGCAATAGTCATGGGCCAATTACTCCCCTGGGCTTGAGCCTCCTGTTGGGGTAGCTTAAAAAAACAAAACAAAACATGGAATCGGGCCCCATCTTGCTTCCTGAGCCCTGTCTGAGGCCAGGCCTACAGGGGGCAGGCCAGAGCCTCACACACCCCACAGTGCCCTAGGGAGTCAGGCCCCAGGCACCCCTGACCCCTGGCAGGCTTCCCAGGACCCCGCACAGGGCTTCGCGCTGGGCCAGGCTGCCCAGAGCGGTTCTGTCCCCAGCATGCCCAGGGTATAAAACTCCCCCCGCTCTGTGCACTCTGCAGCTGGCCTCTCCCAGCCCTCTGGACCCCTGCGCCCACTCTGGGAGGAGGAGCTGATCACTGTAACGAGGCCGCTGAGAGCTCACAGGTGTGCACAGGTGTTCCCAGCCACAGGTGACACAGGACGAGGAGCACGGCACCCTGGGAATTTCTCCCAGTGGGGCACCCCCCAGGGCAAGGCCTGGTCTCTGTGAGAGTCCTCCGACCACAGGAGGAGGTTATGGGATCAGATCCTCACGGGAAAGGCAGCAGCTGCAAGTCGGGCCCTGACGTCAGTAAAGACACGAGGCGGGTCTCTCCTTCACGAGGAACTCAGAGCTCACCCCTGCCCGTCACCACGCTCCTTCCCAACATCCTTCTGCAGACTGGACTGCGGACGGAAGTGACCCCGTCCCTGTCTCCTCCTCCCGACGCACTGTTCCGGGAACCACAGGCCACACCGCCACGCTCACGCTCACACACGCGCTGGGAACGAGCGGAGCACGCGGCCTCCGATACGGGATGCGCTAAGGCTGTGGCCAAGGAAAGCAGAAGGGAGAGCCAGGCCCCAGGAGCAAAGAGGAGCTGAGACAGGGTGGCACCCTCGGGCGGAGGCTCTCAAAGACGCTAGTGGAGATGGCGACAGGGGCCTGGATCAGGCTCGGGTGGGCCCCTTGGCATCTTTGCTTGCTCAGGGGAAAGAGGTCAGACTGCCTCAGACCCTGCACTTCTGAGTTCAAACCTCAGGTCAGCCTGTGCCAGCCAGGGGTCCTGGCGGGGCTGCTGAGCCCGATGCCAACTCCGGGTCACCGGGAGCACCAAGACCCTCAGAGCCCAGGCAGCTGGGTGGGGCCTGACATGGCTGCTGGTTCCTCCGAATGAGCAAGCTGCTTCGCCTCGACACCCCAATCTGACAAGGGCAGAAGGAGGAACCTTCTCCACAAACCGCTGCGGGGTGGCCACCGGAGCACACTCCGCCCCGTGCCATGGAGCAGCGTGCCCCCGGCACCCTCTGGCCTCCAGACGTCAGAGGGGCTGAGAGACGGGGACAGAGGAGGCCGGGCTGGCCTGGGAGGAAGATGGTCGCTCTGGAGCAAGAAACCAGCCCCAGGCCGGAGCGTGGGCGTGCGGGAAGGAGCCGGGGAGCGCTGTCCCCGAGGTCAGATGTCTGGGCGGCCTGCCAGCAGCTAATGTTAGCACACTGGAAGGAAGAGCCCACCACTGGGCAGAGGAACGCGGCGGCAGAGTGGGGGAAGGGGACCGAGCGCTCATCACTGCACACTGTGCAAGCCGAGCCGGGCTGGGGGCGCCTCAGGGCCTGGGCCACCTCCCCCGGGACCGCAGAGCGCTGACCGCTGGGCGATCCTGTCTGTCTGCCTTCATTTCTCCGGGAGCGGGGGTGACCACGTTGTCACCAGCATGTTGTTCTTAGAAAAAGGAGACCGAGGACCATGAAACAGGCTTCCAGAAGGGCAGGGAGGGGGCCGGCCAGGCCCCAGAGGAGGCCTGTAGGCCTCTGTGCACCCAGAGTTCCCAAGGCCTCCAGAGGGCCCCCCTGCCTTCCACCTCCGGCACCTGTCCTCCTGAACCCAAAGGTGCCCGCGGTGATTCGCATTTTCTTTCTTAACCTTACATCCCCACTTCTGTTATCTTCTTAGTCCGAATAGAAAACAAAAGAAGAAGCTTTTCCATCTTTCCTGTCATTATCTTGATGGTATTTACGTGAGGGTGATGTCACCGCTGAGAGCTGAACCCCCACTGACTTCCTGTCAAGCTTGCTGGCCGGCAGAGCAAGCCCTCCGGCCGGCCGTGATGTCACCGCCAGACGGAGATTATCTGGGGTCCTCCGGGGGCTGCTTCACCCATGCCGCTCCAGGAGGCCCGGCCAAGTCCCGAGAGCTGTGGCCTCGGAGCCGGGCTGGGGGTGTGTGAAGGTCGTGGGTGCAGGAGACGAGGGCCTGGACCTGAAGGCGGCATCCTGGCCCCCTGCCCGCAAGCTCCGAGACCTGGGCCCCCCACCCCGGCCCCTGGGCCCTCAGAGCCAGTTTCCTGTCTGTATCACTGGGTAGAGGCAGCCATGCCCTGTCCCTCAGGGGGGGGGACAAGCTCCAAGGCAGGGAGGGTGACGGGACCTGTGCAAGGGCCACACGGACCACGCCTCCCTCCGGGCTGCTGGGCGCGGCCGCTCTCCCTGCCCACACTGGCTCCCACTTGCCCTGTGCAGGCAGAACCGGGCCAGGCCAGGGCCGTGGCCCAGGACCTGTGACACCAAGACGCTGACAATGACAGCCCCTCTCCGAGGGCGGCCGCTCCCCACCGCTGACTTGCACATCTGGGAGTCAAGGGGAGGGAAGAGGGGACAGTCAGGCCCAAAGTTCTGTGCTGGGTGGCTGCGGGCCTGGAGCCGCCGATGACTCCCCAGGAAGGGAAGGGGGCCTGGGGAGAGAGGCAGGCCCTGGTCTGCGAAGCTCGGGAGCCTGCACAGCAGAGCCCTTTCCGGGCCTTCCCGTGACTTTTCTCCCCGTTTCTGCTCTGAGACGCTGAGCCTTCCTTCGGCGGCTCGGGCCGGGAGGCCACACTCCTCCTGGCAGGGGCTCAGACCACGTCTATTTGAAGAGCGGCTCAGCTGACCTCGGCCCACGTGCCCTGGAACCGCTCCGCCGCCAGCCCCAGCCGGGTCCTCCCTGAGCCGGGACCGAGTTCAGCGGCCGCTGCTGAGGCCAAGAGCACAGCTGGAGCCGGGCAGGGGCCTCCCCTGGGACCCCCGGAGGCCCTCACCCTGCAGCCATTCCTCCCTGGTCAGAGCTCCTCGAGATGCGTGCTTCAGAGTCGGCAGGAAAACACTCGCCAACGACAGAAGACAGCAACCTCCGCCACGACCCGGGCAGCTGCGGGAACCCGCGTCCACGCGCTCTCCAACTGTCCCCTGGCACCTGCCATGCACCAGGCCCCAGTCCTGGGCACCGGGTGCCCAGCCACAAGCAACAGAGACCAAGGGCCTCGCCTTCATGAAGCCCAGATTCTAGCGGGGGCCACCCGACACCAGGCTCCGAGTGCGGGAAGTGCTTCGGCGGGAAGAGGCCGGGAAGGGACAGAAAGTGTGTGGTGGGGGAAGGGGAGGGTGGCCGACTGGCCGGAGAAGAAAGGGAGGGAGGGAGAGTCCTGCTACCGGGCAGGCTTCCAGGCCAGGGAAGACGTGCAAAGGCCCTGAGGCAGGTCTGGGCTTGAGCAAGGAGCCCAAGGGTGTGGGGCCTCATTCATCCCAAGAAGGGCTGCGGGGCTGCTCGGCCTGAACGGGGAGCGGTGCCAGGTTCTGAGCAGAGGAGGGTCAGGCCTGACTCGTGTGCTCTCTGGCTGCTAGCTGGGGGACAGGCCGAAGGAGCCGGAAGCGGGGGACCCGTTCCCACAAGAATCCTGGCGAGAGAGGACACGACAGTGGGGATGCCGAGAGGGACCTGATCACAGATGAACCTACATGCGAACGGGGACGGCAGTGCCGTGGGCAGAGCCCTGACTCATCTTTGTTTGTGCAACGCGTCCAGCCCAGGGCCTGCCACACCCACGGGGCTCGTCAAGGCCTGTGAAGTGGACACAGGTCCCAGTGGCTTTCGCAGGGCCGGCCCGCCTGCCCGCAGCCTGGCTGCCGGTGAGGATAGTGGAGAGGGCCCACGAGGGGCTGGTGTGGGAGCTCCCGAGGGGCTGTGAGAGGCACCGGGAGTGGCGAGGTGCGGTGTGACCCGGACAGGGGGCCCCCGCAGACCACGGACGCTGTGGAGAGTCTGGGGGACGGTCCCATCCACCGAGTGCTCGCGCCTGGATGGGACTTCCTGCTCCTTCTGCAGGGGAGCGGCCCCGCTCGCTCCCCAGGGACCAGGGCTGGAGCAGAGGCAGGGGGCTGCTCTGTTCTCGCTCGGACGGCCGGCGTGTCTGCCCCTCGGCCCGGCCCACCAGGCCATTTGTTCAGACGACAACTTGGCGGGGGGCCGGCGGAGGGCAGCGGTCGCCACGGCCGCCGCGCTGGCCGCCAGACTGCACTTCTATCTCCAACATCTCCCACTCTGGACGTTCCAGAGGCCCCGCTCTCGCCCTGCACAGCCCTTTGGAGGTATGGCCTTATCTCGGGCCCCTCGGGGCGCCACCTTCCCTTACCGGGTGGAGACCAGAAAGAATGTGGACCTGAGTCCGGCAGGGACAGCAGAGCTGCGCAGGGTCTGACTGACAAGGTGCTGGCTGTCCCACTCACCAGGAGGCTCCAGTCCGGGCTGCTCCTTCCTTCGTGCAAATACTCAATGGCTCTGGGTTCCCTGCCCCACCCCCGCCCGGCTGGCCAAGGCCCACGGAGCCCTGCTCCCGGGCGCTCAGGCCGCAGCCCCAGCTGGGCCTGCGCCTCAGAAGGGGCATCAGAGAAACCAAGTCCACTAGGCCCTTACCAGCTGAGAGCTGAAGGTCCTGCAGGCTATGGAGTCTGCGCCCTGCGTGTCGAGGCTTTTACTTAGGATCATCACCATGGTAAGGCCCTCAGGAGCTGGGCTCTGTCCCAAGGTGGGCGCGAGCCATCTTCAGCTGGCAGACTTGGGCAGAGGCGATCTCCTGGGCACCTCCCAGGCGACTGGCGTCAGCAGAGACAGCTCCCCATCGGCCACTCAGCCTCGGCAAGTCCCTTGCAGGAAACAGCCAGGCGCGGTCAACTCCCTGGGAAGACAAAAGGAGGCACAGGGATTTAGGCCTGGGGGAGCCCAGGGCCCAGAGAGAGCCCACCCTGCTCTGCACAGGACCGGCCTCCCTGCTGAGGGGCACACATGCTGGGAGGGCTCAGAAGGCCACAGTCACCTGGGAGGCCCTCCCCGCCAGCATTCGAGGGCCCCAAAGCCAACGCCCTGACAGGAGCAACAGCGCGTCTCAGTTCAGCCACGTGACACCTTTCAGACACATCGCAGGGTCTCACAATCTGCTGTGCTCCAGGGGTGATCAAGCCGCGTGACACCTTACACCGCGTCAGTGTCCACCCACCCTCGGGCCCACAGTCAGCAAGGTGGCTAATCTTCTGCACCAGCTACGAGCGGAAGCTACTGGGAAAGTCAGAAGGGTCCATTTAAAGGCACGTGACTCCTGTCCACAGAAGCACCACATTTCCACAAGGACACCTTTGAACACTGGGGGCCTCTGCAGCCCTGTCCCCTTGGCCAGAATGAGGCCACCCAAGTCACAGCCCTGGGAGGGCCTGCCCGTACCGCTCTGAGCTCCCGGCAGTAAGGAGACCCCCTCGCGGCACCATTCAGCAGCGCCTGTCACCCCTCCTCCGAGGTCCACCTCCCACCAAGCCCACGCCGAGCGCGCGGCCTCCAGTTCAGGCTGCAAGAGTCGCCCCTGACCGACGAACCTTTCTGACCCCCCCCCCCCATCTCACCCTCCGCGGTGACACCTTTAGAGAAAGTCACAGGATCCCAAGACCCTGAAGATCGCCATCAAAATGTAAAAACTGGTGATGATCATTAACACACAGAAAGGCGACTCCTAATCTGCAATTAAAAACAAACTGCTCGGCGCAGGAGAACGTCTTAGAATCTGCTGCTCCGTGTAAAAATTAATTGCGCCCTGGCATCCACTAGCGGTCCGGACCGTAAATCCTATTTTCCTGTTTACTTCGATCAGACTTTACAGTGAGTGTTATTGAAATTGCTCAATTACGGGCCTGCTGGCGAGCACGGAAAATTACCTTCCTTGTTCTTCGAAAACAAGGTTCATCCAAAGTGCAGGAGCAGGGAAGGGAGGCGGGACATCAATACATGGTCAAAGGCCCGGCCACTGGGAAGGGAGGCCCAGTGGTCTGAGACTGCAGGCTCCCAGCTCAGCAGAGACTCTGCCCAGTGTCAACACCACGGAGGCAGAGGTGACCGAGGGGATCTGCTCAAGGAAGGAGCTTCAGACCACTCTTCCCAGTTCTGGCCAGAGAGCCGAGCCAGAAATGCCCGCCAGGCCCTGGACGCTTGGCCCGGGAGCAAGCCGGGGAGGGAGAGTGCCCAGGGGTGCTCATGGGCTATCCCCTCAAAGGGACCCTTTGTGCCGCCTTGGTGGTGGAGGTGCGGCCTGAGGGTGGCCATCTCTCTGGGTACAGCTTCTACTTCATGCCGGGGCAGCCAGCCACTGGCCCAAGAAGCCAGTGGGTGACCTGCCATCAGCCATTTCTTCTCCCCGACGGGGCAGGGGGTTCGGCAGTTACAAACCCAAGTCCCCGTCATGCACACCTGGGCTGGAACCCCAGCTCTCGAGATGCAGTGTCCGTGTGACCTTGACAAGTTACTGTCTGAGCCTCAGCCGCCCTCTCTGTGGACCAGAGACAGCTGAGGCTGCCTCAGACGGGGACATGTCACACGAAAACAGAACCCTAGCCCTGGCTGGGTGACACGCCCCCACAATTTGAGGAAATGCTCCATGAATAGTAGCGCTGATCACTTGTCTCATGGGGAAGCCTGTGGGGCCCGGTCCTTTCTCAGTAACGGACACCCAAGCATCGGTCCCCTCAAATTTTTTATAGGTGGATGCCATCAAATGTTCTTAAGTTCCATCCAGAGGGGACTAGCTGTCTTAGGCCCATCCTTCTGGTGAAGCAGGAGGTGGCCAGGAAGGGTGATGCTGTGGGAGTCTATTGCCATGGAGACAGGTTAGCCCATCGATGCAGCCCCTGGGCGCCAAGCACAAAGCTGGATGCAGGCGTCCGGGCTCTCAAAGCTCTGTCCCCACTGGAGCCCCTACAGGACACTGGGCTCACAGAAGCAGCAGGGGGTGAACACTGGAGCCCCCGGGCACGGCCTGGGCAGCGAACACGCAGACACTGGAAGAAGAGATGGTCCAGAGACGACCCCAGTGCTGAAGGTCGAGGCAGGAAGGGGAGGAGACACTGGAGCAGAGACAGCAGACCCCTCTGCACAGGGGCCAAGGACACCCAGCACTGCCTGGGAGTCAGGACCCCAGGTGTGGGGACAACTAGGCGCCCACCCACAGGGAACGGGATACATAAATCACGCTGTGGTTATGCACAGGAACACCAGGTCGCCTTCACCACAACTTTAACGAGGCAATTTTAGCAGCACAGATATGAACACTCCCCGAAATCCACTGACGTGGAAACAGCCAGAGAGGGTGCAGCTGGTCCCGCAGCCCGGGAAGGGCTTGGGCTCTGGGGCGGGGGAAGGCCTCACGTGCAGTTTGAATATTTCATCCAGGGCACATGAAACCTTTTTGATTGAAAAGAAAATAGTGAAGTCCTGGCAGGTTTGGCTCCGTGGTTCGAGCGTTGGCCCACGGACCAGAGTTGTGGGTTCGATTCCGGTCAAGGGCCCTGGTCAGGGTCGTGCAGGAGGCAACCAATCGACGTGGCTCTCTCTCATGGATGTTTCTCTGTCCATCTCCCTTCCTCCCTCCCTTCCACTCTCTCTAAAAATCAATGGAAAAATATCAAGTGAGGATTAACAACAACAAAAAAGCAGAGGCTGCATCGATGCCCTTCCTTGGCAAGGGGAAGGCCTCCCGAGGCCACCTCTGGGGCACAGACCCTGCTCTGACCGGGTGGGTTTTTTTCTTAACCCGTATTAAGAGCAGCTTCTATCTATTGAGCACCTACTGTATACCAGGTGCTTTATACGTATCGGCTACATGACAGGCTCAGTTCTCCCTATTCCCTAGGTGGGTGAGCTGGTGCCCCGGTGCTCAGCCTGTGCTTCCTGCCATGCCCTCCTGCAGCGGACCCCGTGCCCCCACTGCCTCTCCCTCCCGAAAGCACCTTCAAAAGCCATTCAAGCAACGACCGTACGACCCGGCAAGTGCATTCCTCGGGTTTACCCCAGAGAAACGCAAGCTTAATGTCCCACAAAATCCCGCACATGAATGCTCAGAGCAGCTTCCTCCCTGACAGCCAGAGCCAGGGACCGACCTCGCGGCCTTCGACGGGGGAAGGGTCAAACCCACCCTGCTGCACACACCACAGAGGGAGGACCCTCGGTGAGAAGGCCCAGCCACCAGAGGCTAATGCCTGCACGGAGCCATTCACACGACATTCGTGAAGTGACAGAATTACAGAGATGACGACCAGCTGAGGGGTGGCCGGGGTGTGGGAACGGGAGGGGCGAGGGGCTATGAAAAGGGGACAGGGGGGCCTGCATCTCGGCCCCGTCAGAGTTCGTTTCTGCCTGTGATAGTTCTGCAGCGAGTGAGCTCTGGGGGACACTGGGTAAATGCTACACAGGATTGCTCTCTGTCATCCGACAACCACGTGTGAATTTACGACGATCATACCACTTAAAACTTCAATGAAGAAAGCCCATTCGGTCCTGGCTGGTTTTGCTCAGTGGTTAGAGCATCCGTCCGTAGAACAAAGGGTCACAGGTTCAATTCCGATCAAGGGCACATACTTGGGTTACAGGTTTGATCCCCGGGCCCAGTCGGGGTCGTGTGAGAGGCAACCAGTCGATGTATCTATCTCTCTCTCTCTCTCTCTCTCTCTCTCTCTCTCTCTCTTTCTTCCTCTCCTCCTTCTCTTCTCTATCTAAACATCAATAGAAAAATATTCTCAGGTGAGGATTAAACAAAGAAAAAAAGGCCCAGCCGGTGTGGCTCAGTGATTGGCAATCAACCCTGCACCAAGAGGTCGCCAGTTCGATTCCCGGTCAGGGCACATGCCCAGGTTGTGGGCCTGATCCCCAGTGGGGGGCACGCAGGAGGCAGCCAATCAGTGTTCTCTCTCATCGATGTTTCTATCTCCCTTTCCCTTCCTGTCTAAAAACAATCAATAAAGAAACAATTCTTTTAAAGTCCAATCTATGCATTTGTCAAAAACACATAAACCTAAACCCCAAGAGTGAATTGCACTGGACGTAAATATACAAAAAAAATTTCAGAAGCCACGTGGCTGCCACGCCTGCACCAAGGACCCGTGCGAGGGGCGAGGACCTACACCTCGCATTTCCTCACCTCTCCACGGTGCTCCCTGTCCGGTGCTCCTGGCGGACGAGGGCCTCCCGCCCTGCCCACACACACCGGGGTGCCTGCCGCCCACGGGAGGTAGAAGCCCCCCTCGACAGGTGCCCGGCCCGGTCAGGGGAACACTGACTCCAACCTCGGGGCTGTGCTCAGTAACTCGACTTCCTCAGGATCCCCATCACAGAGGGAAGGGCAAAGTCAGACTTTCCACTGACCCGTGATCTGCTTCCCTGACCACCCTCACGTTCCCTGGCCACAGATGTGGTAGCAGAGGGCCCGGGCTGCCCCCCACGTCCTTACCCCAAGGGTGCGCCTGCCCAAGGACAGCCCGAGCTCCCCAGCACTGTGCCCACAGCAGGGCCTACAGGGCGGAAGGGGACAACAGTGTCGGTCGGAGGGCACCAAGCGACACTGCCCACGGCCAGCAAGAGGCCTGGTCCAGCGCCATGGTACCTCCAGAGCCGCCTCCACCCCCATGGGCCCCGCACAACACACTCCCGCCTCCCCTCCCGCCTGCCTGAGCGCACACGTTCCTGCCAACAGGGCTTGCTGCTAGGACCATCCCCATTTTGCAGATGAGAAGCCAGAGGCTCCCAGGAAATAAACAGCACAGCTGCCCAAGACTCCACAGCTGGCAGGGGCCAGGGCCGGGTCTGGGTTCAGGTCTGCCTCCTCGGCCACTCGGCCGCTCAGGGGACAGCTCTGCTCTCATAGAC